TATTAATTAATCAGCAAATACTGGTAGTATAAGAGGAGTTTTTCAGAAGAGCAAAGTCATAAACGTCCTCATGACAGATGTGATGCGAGCTTTGACAATCGCGATGAATATAGAAAAACGTGCGGCAAAATTTACGAATGTAAAGAACCGAATTGTGGAAAAAAGTACAATTGTAGGACATCATTTCACTCTCACAAGAGGAGAAATCATCAACCACATCAATCTAAATCTCAATGCGAAAACTGTAACAAATCCTTCAGCTGCAATGCAAAATTCAATAAATAAAGGAAGCTAAACTGCGACAAAGTGTCCATTTCTTTTGGTGCAATGAGGCAGCATTTACAAAATATTCCTTCTGGACCAAACTGATGAAATCCATAATGCGTGGATAACTTGAGAAATACACGAAAAAGTGCGTAGGTATCAAAGGCTGCGCGGCATTTTCAGCGCTACCGTCACAACAAATGCTATTTTATAGTCTCATTTTAACATTGGTTTTCTGACATGCTTTCTTTCCATTCTCCTAATTATTAGCAGAACCGGGTTTTTTTTTTTTTTAAATTAATTATCAAAAATTGATTTGTTCATCCGATCCTTCGTAATCGCCCGACATTATAAGAGTTTTTCAGAAGAGCGAACTTATGAGTGTCATTATGTCGGATGTACTTTGCGCACGAACAGTTCCAAAGAAAATAGAGAACACAAGAAAACCCACGGCAAACCATTTATTTACGAATGTAAAGAACCCAATTGTGGAAAAAAGTACAATTGTAAGACATCATTTCACTCTCACAAGAAGAGAAAACATCAACCACATCAATCTAAAATCTCAATGCGAAAATTGTAACAAATCCTTCAGTCGCAAGGACCATTTGAAGGAACATCAAAGAGATGCTTCGGAAATTCACGTTAGTTTTGCAAATTTAGCAAAATTTCAAGTACGTTTTTTTCATCTGCAATAGTAGAACGCAGATGAAAATGTGCTGCAGAACATGCACGACCATAGAGCAGCAATGCAAAATTCAATAAATAAAGGAAGCTAAACTGCGGCAAAGTGTTCATTCCTTTTGGCGCAATGAGGCAGCATTT